GTTGAAAAAGAGAGAGAGAATTCTTATCAGCTGCAACAAAAGACCAGACATGCGCGTGAGAGCATGGGCGTGAAGCCATAGAGGGAAATTCGCCCAGCTATTCGCGACAATAGGCCTCTCGCGCCTCCGATCTCCAAGGGCCGCGAACCTGGGCGTAATTCATAAAACATTCGCGGCTGAAAAGCGACTTAAAGAGAGGAGGTCGTCACTAGTCGTTCGCGGCGGGAAACAAGAGGGGGGGGCGACCTTCGGCTGGAGGTTTCGGGATTCATTTCACGGGGTTTCATTGTCGTTTCGCGCCCGTCATTAGCATCACAATCGTTACTTATCTTTCTGTTCCTGGCGCTTTTCTTTCTCTCTCTCTCTCTCTCTCTCTCTCTCTCTCTCTCTCTCTCTCTCTCTCTCTCTCTCTCTCTCTCTCTCTCTCTCTCTCTCTCTCTTTCTTCCTTCTTTACGTGTGAAAACGTCATTCCTACGATATTTCGTTGTGGTATTTAGAAACTTTAAGAATCTGCAACTATTCTCCAGAAATAATCAACTATTTTCCAGAAGTAACCGGCTATTACCCGCTGCGATAACTACCCCCCCTCATAGTCAACAGGAGGCATAAACATCCCGGGTATTTGGCGGGTAGAAAAGGGCACCTCTGCCACAAGCCCCGCCCCCCGTTGCAACGCCTTCCCTTCGACTACCAACAACAGGCTCCACTTAACCACACTAATGACCAAAACACCTGTCATAAGGCTCACCTGCATGACTACCAGTAATTAAATTGGTCGTGAAATGTCTTCTACCGACGCCCATCCACCAGGTTTTCTGCCTGACGCTACATGGCTGCCTCATGACGCAATGCTGGATCCAAACCTACGCAGTTACGACATGCTGATGTCACCAACGGGGCATGAACACGAAGGAATTCCTTTCTGTTTTCCGTTTATAGATAATGAGAGAAAATGATGTATGTTCGTAGTGTTCGGCTTCTCAAAAATCAAATATTAAAGAAAAAAAAAAAGGTTTGTTCAGATCGAGGTAAATTAAGCGCGGTAAATAGAGTATGTAATAATTTTAACTAAAAATACTAAATACTAAATTAAAAATCATAATTTGATTAGAAATGTAAGCACGTAGACATCTGAGCATATTAATTTTAAATAAACGCACCCTAATATTACACGAAGATCTTCACGCACTTCCAAGTAACATGAATGGAACGCAAGCAAGAGAGGAGGAGGAGGAGGAGGAGGAGGAGGAGGAGGAGGAGGAGGAGGAGGAGGAGGAGGAGGAGGAGGAGGAGGAGGAGGAGGAGACTTTCAAGATGCCTGGGATACTTAACGCAAAGGACCGCGCGAATAAGTAAAGCTGGTATCAAGCTCGCCCGTTAACTGCGTAGTGTGACACGTGCCAAGCTCTTACGCAACTCGGGAGATGCGCTTTAGCATTCAAAAAACCATAATACGAATGAATTCCCGAATTAAAATCGTTTTCTCCTCTCCTGCTGAATCATTTCGTACCAAACACCCCCCTCTCTCCCTTGCACGAGCGTGTCCCGTGTCCCTAAGAGCCCCTTCCACGCCCAATTCGAAGGTAAAACACGTGCTCGGCCTGACTTCCCGCGCCCCTTGCTAACTCCGCCTCTCATTGACGAGCTTGTTACGCTGTTGTGCTCACTCCTCCCGCCAAAAGACAAGTGCGACGCGGGGCTGCACTTTGCCGCATCTACGCATCGGCACTACGCAGATTACGTAACAGGGGTAAATGGTGTTAATGACGCTATAATATGCACTTGTTTGGGTGTTGTTTACGTGTCTCATTGGATGGAACTGCGTGCGTGCAGAGCCATGCAAAAATTACTAATACAAGTATATGCATGCAGTATTACTACTGCATGCATTTATCTACAGACATACATGTATGTACGCTATATGTATAAAGGCCAATTTATACGTATGTATATACACGCATACAGATACACACATACGCATACTCTGTATGTGTAGGTTTGTATGTACATATACATATATATATATAATAAAAATACATATATATACATTATATATATATAATCATATATATGCATGTATGTATGTTTGTATATGTGTGTGTGTGTGTGTGTGTGTGTGTGTGTGTGTGTGTGTGTGTGTGTGTGTGTGTGTGTGTGTGTGTGTGTGTGTGTGTGTGTGTGTGTGATATGTAGACAGACATAGATAAACAGACAAACAGATAGAGAGAGAGAAAGGAAGAGAAATATAGAAAAAGCCCTTTATCCAATCCCACGCTTCCTCTCAGACGCGATCAGTGACGTCGGGATGCAAGAACTTGTACACTCCTGGGACTTGTAGGAGATGGGGGGGAGGGGAAGGGGGGCGTAGGAGTAAAGAGGAGGAGGAGGAGGAGGAAGAGGACAGGAGAAGAGAGAGGAGGAGAAGAAGTGGGGGGGGGGGGGGGGAGTCTTCTCGGTATAGCCACTCCTACGCATCAAAGGGCCTCACGAGAAACGCAG